TTTATTCTTTTCTTTTATTCATTATGCCCCTTCCTCTACTGCACACTTCCTTAGTTTTTTAGTAAATTTTTTCTTCACACCTTTTTCACTTTTAATTTTTCTTTCTTTCCTTTTTTATCTTTCTTTTTCTTTGTTTCTTTTTTCTTTGTACTTTTATTCTACACTTTTTTATTTCTTTATTTTAGCAGTTCCTTTTTATTTCATCAATTATTATAGTCATTTTCCTGCTTTCTTTTTGATCTTCGGTTCCTCTTCTTTCTTTTTTCTTTCTTTCTTTCTTTCTTTCTCTTTTTGTACCTTTATTACTACGCTTTCAATTTCCTAATTATTTAGACGTTTTTTTTTTTATTTTCAATAATTATTATAAGCTTTTTCCTTCTTTCATTTTGATCTACGGTTCCTTTTCTTTCTTTCTTTCTTTTTTTCTTGCTTTCTTTTTTTGCTTTCTTTTTTTCTTTCTTTTTTTCCTTTGTTTCTTTCTTTCTTTGTTTCTTTCTTTCTTTGTACTTCTATTACTACACTTTCTATTTCCTTATTTTTAGCAGTTCCTTTTTATTTCATCAATTATTATAGTCATTTTCCTGCTTTTTTTTTGATCTTCGGTTCCTCTTCTTTTTTTTTTTTCTTTTTTCTTTTCTTTATGTCTATCATTTTGTTCTTTGATTCTATTTCTTTCTTTCCAATATTTTTCTTTTTTTTCTTTCTTTCCTTCTTTCTTTCTTTCTTTACTACACTATTTTTTTTTCTTTTTAGATGTTCCTTTTAATTTCCATTAATTATTTTTCTTTCTTTAATCCGTTTAACTTTTTACACTATTTTTTTTTTCTTTTTGATTTCCATTCCTTTTTAATCCGTTTTTTTTTTTTTCATTCCTTTCTTTTTTTTCTGTTTTATTCTTCCCTTTCTTCACAATTACTTTCTTCCTTAATACTGAATGCATTTCATTTCTCGCTTTATCTTTTCTTTTAGTTTCATTCCTTTCATCATTTTTTTTTACTACCTCAATATTCTTCGCTTACCTACAGGTATGCAGATACATACAGAAATTTCCGCATTTTTTTACCGTATTCCTTCCACGAATTCTTCATTTATTTCATTGGTTTTATATTTCTTTCTTTTCTTTAAACTCTCCATTAAATTTATTCTTTTATATAATTATTCTCTCCTTCTTTCTATTTCATCAAATATTCACAATTTACATATATTCTCATTTTCAGCCTTTCTTTCATCCTTCGCCTTCTTTCATTGGATTCTTCATTTTTCTTTATTTTCTTATTTCTTTCGTATAATAATTTCCCGTTTTCTTTCTTTTTTCACTCTTTTTACTTTCGTTATTTATGTCTCTGTTTGTCTTTCTTTGCATTGTCCTCATTTGTTCAATTCAAGCCTTCCTTCTTTATTTCTGAACTTATTCGCAATTTCCGTTTTGCCTTGATTCACATATTTCTTGTCCTTCTAATTAACTAATTCTTTACTTTGCATTACATTTATTTTTTTATATCTTTCTAATTAATCGCAAAGATTGCATTTTAACTGTCTTTCCCCTTTTCAGTTACCCGTCATATTACGCATTCATTTTTTCTCTTCTCCAATTATTTATTCGAAATTTACTGTACAAACCCGCTTTCTCCTCTGCTTAGCTGTATCAAATCTTAACTTTCCAATCCAAAACCAGATCTTTATTTCAATCTGGGCCAAGCCCTTAATTTAATTCTCTTCCTTCGATTCCCAATATATATATATATATATATATATATATATAGTATTTTCTGTCGTGCACATTCTTATGTATATATAATACACACACACACACACACACACACACACACATATATATATATATATATATATATATATATATATATATATATATATATATATATATATATATATATATAGATAGTATTTTCTGTCGTGCACATTCTTATCTGCAAACTAGATCGATCTTCAGAGCTAGATTATTTTTGAATTACTTCAGCTGCTACACAGTCCTTTCTTCATTGCTCTTAAGGGTTCCATCTGTCTGTTTTCAAAGTAATTTCTCTCCTCCAGAATTTTTTTTTTCAAATAATCCCTAATTCGAAATATACTTCCAAAGAATTTTTTGATCCATTTATTTGTTTTTTTTGTTGTTTTTTTTCCTTAATTCAGCAATTTACCTAGCCACTGACTGGTTTCTTTCATGCTTCGAAAACCGGAATTGATTTGTTGTCTATGAATCGAAAACTCAAACTTGCAAAATGAGTTCAAATTCGAATCCATTCTTCTTTGTCTCTGGTATGTGATTCATTTGGAAAAATGCAAGAATGTTGCATTGGTACAGTTGGTTATTTATTTTCATCAGCATCATTTGACAAATATATATATATATATATATATATATATATATATATATATATGTGTGTGTGTGTGTGTGTGTGTGTGTGTGGGTGTATTATATTTATGCATATGTATATATATAAATATATATATGCAACATCTATCTATCTATTTATCTATCTATCTATATATTTATATATATATGTGTGTGTGTATGTATATAATGTACATGAGCAGTAAGTCTTCTCTTTTCCAGGTTTCATTAAAGATGATTCACAAGGTACTGCGATTAAGCGTTTTATTTAATTTTTCTTGTGTTCGTATAAACTTTTTTCTTTTGGGGAAACAAAGTGCGTAAAAACGTTCTGCATATCCGAGAGTTTTTAACTGTTCTTTTACCAATTATCAAGGCCAATAATATTTTAACATTTCATTTATAATTAAATATGTATTATATATATATATATATATATATGTGTGTGTGTGTGTGTGTGTGTGTGTGTGTGAAGTTATAGTTATGTATTCTTTTCCGAACAAGATCAGCAGATGAAGACTGTGTTTATAGTTAATGTAAATAAGTGTTGGCTATGCAAAATTTAATATTAGGATTTTCAAAATTAAATTCGCGTATTTGGACGTCAAATACCACGAACATTTTTCACCATTCTCTTGTGTTTAGTTTAATTTGTACCGTATATAAAAGTAAATAGAAGAAAGCAAAAGATCCTTAATATGGGGTTTTGGGTTGGACGTTGTCAGCACCAGCCCGATATCTATCTATCTATCTATCTATCTATCTATATCTATCTATATATATATATATATATATATATATATATATTGTTGTGTATTCCGGGATGAAATCCGGTACCGATAAATAACAGACGTCAAGAATGAATATAGGAAAATAATGTATTAACGTAATTATACAAACTGGTAATGCAGGTTAGTAGTTCCAGGAATACGGGTTAGTAGCAAAATATCTATACAGTATTTGGTATTGAAGTATCGCTGTATGCCTTCTTACTGTGTCTACGTGCTCGCTCATTGTGACTCTTGCTCGCTACGTTCTTTCTTTCTGTCTGTCTGTCTGTTTGTTACCTTCACGCTCTGTTGCTCTCGTCACTCGTGTATTCACGTAGCAGTAGTATATGTATATACTAGGTGAGTCCATTTGTGTAAAAAGGAGAGGACCCCTCAACACCACCCTCCTTAGATCGCTTTTTGGACGGTCTCCTTTCATTTTTGATCGATAATCAGAGGCTCTGTAAATTTTCTTTTCCTGCTAATCCATCTAATTTCTGTCGCTTCTTGTGGTCTTTGAATCTCAAACGCTTCAAAGTTCGCCTCCATCGAATCATCATTTTCAGCTTGACTTTTCAACCTGTCTTTTTTGTATTTGGTCAATATGTCTTCTGTAAGTAAATTTTTCTCTTTGTATTGTGTACATAACGTTTCCTAGTCTGTTAATTAATTTTTTTCAAAGCTCTCTTTAATTCTTTGTCGAATTTCTGTATGGTAGCCAATGGCAAAATTCCGCTTCTTTTTAAATAATTGTTGGACATTTTATTTTAATTCAATTCTGGCTGTAAACTTGTTACATCGTTCCAACCTGCTCGAAAATACCTCGGGGAATTGATTATGTAATTCTTCCTTTAACTTTGTCGCTTCTGATGGTTCGCACTTTATCTTTTTACAAAAAGAACTGACAGGTAAATCCCATTTCCTCTTCGACATGTTGACGAGGGAGAATTTTGACTTTTTGTTGTTCTTCACGTGTGAGTTTATATCCTCCTTGCCAAGTTGTTGTGGTCGAGGCGAGGGATTATTTTTCTTCCGTGTGAGTTCGAAGTCCTCGTCGACAAGTTGACGAGGGAGAATTTTGAATTATTTGTTCTTCCCGTGTGAGATCGATATCCTCGTCGCCAAGTTCTTGTGGATTCCGGGATGAAATCCGGTACCAAGAAATAACAAACGCCAAGAATGAATATAGGAAAATAATGTATTAACGTAATAATACAAACTGGTAATGCAGGTTAGTAGTTCCAGTAATGCGGGTTAGTAGCAAAATATCTATACAGTCTTTGGTATTGAAGTATCGCTGTATGACTTCTTACTGAGTCTATGTGCTAGCTCACGGTGACTCTTGCTGGCTACGTTCGTTCTGTCTGTCTATCTGTTATCTTAACACTCTGTTGCTCTCGGGTCTTCACGTAGCAGTAGTATATGTATATACTGGGGGGTTCATTTCTGTAAAAAGGGATGGCAGCTCATATATATATATATATATATATATATATATATATATATATATATATATTCCTGTCGTGTTCATTATATTCATACTATCAAGCTTGAGGAAATTATGAATCTATCTCTCCTACTACCCTCATGGTTAAATAGCAGGATAGACTAAGACCTAGAGCTATCTATCTATCTATCTATCTATATATATATATATATATATATATATATATATATATATATATGTGTGTGTTGGCACTACTTCAGTTATGTAACTCGATCGCTAAAAAAATAAAGAATAATTTTTGGGAAATCAAGTTTATGGACGAGCATTCAGGTGAGCATTATCAGCACATCCCCTTTTCCAGAATCTAAAAACTATGATTTTTTGATATTTTAGAGTAGGCAGAGAATAGTAAGAGGGAGGGCAAACAAATCTAAGCAGACAGAGGAAAGAGCAGGTAAAGAGAATGAGAAGTAGACAAGGGAGAATGAATGGGATACCTGAAGAGAGTGAGACTAGACACAAGGTGAGTGAAGGGGACGCGTGAAGAGAATGAAGTAGACAGTGGTGAGTGAAAAAAGATGCGTGAGAAAAACGAGAAGGAGACGGTGGGAGTGAAGGGATGCGTGAGGATAAAGAGAAGTAGAAAGGGAAAGTTGGAGGGATGCGAGAAGAGAACGAGAAGTAGAGAGGGGTTAATGAAGGGAAAGCGTGAGGAGAACAAGAAGTAGACAGTGGACTGAAGGAGAAGTGTGAGGAAAACAAGGAAGAGTAAAAAAAAGCTAAGTAGACAGATAAAAGAGAAGGGAATGCGTGAAGCAAATGCGAATTGGAAGGAGAGAGTCAAGGGGTTACATAAAGGAATTCGTGAATGGAAAAAGGTGAAGACAGGGGAGAGTGAAAGGATGCGTGACGGGAACGTGAAGTAGACAGGAGAGAGTGAAGGGGTGCATGAAGAGAAGTACACAGGGGAGTGTGAGGGGATGCATGAAGAGAAGTAGACAGGGGAGAGTTGACGGATGCATGAAGAGAAGTAGACAGGGGAGAGTGAAGGGCTGCATGTGGAGAAGTAGAGAGGGGAGTGTGAAGGGATGCATGAAGAGAATTTGACTGGGGAGAGTGAAGTGATGCATGAAGAGAAGTAGACAGAGGAGAGTGAAGATGCATGAAGAGAAGTAGACAGGGTACAGTGAATGGATGCATGAAGAGAAGTAGACAGGGCAGAGTGAAGGGCTGCATGAAGAGTAGTAGACAGAGGAGAGTGAAGGGATGCATGAAGAGATGTAGACAGAGGAGAGTGAAGGGTTGCCTGATGAGAAGTAGACAGGGGAGAGTGCAGATGCCTGAAGAGAAGTAAACAGGGGAGAGTGAAGGGATGCATGAAGAGAAGTAGACAGGGGAGAGTGAAGGGATGAGTGAGAGGACGTGAAGTAGACAAGGGAGAGTGAAGGGATGCATGAAGTGAAGTAGACAGGGGAGAGTGAAGGGATGAGTGAGAGGACGTGAAGTAGACAAGGGAGAGTGAAGGGATGCATGAAGTGAAGTAGACAGGGTACAGTGAATGGATGCATGAAGAGAAGTAGACAGGGCAGAGTGAAGGGATGCATGAATAGAAGTAGACAGGGGAGAGTGAATGGATGCATGAAGAGAAGTTGACTGGGGAGAATGAAGCGATGCATGAAGAGAAGTAGACAGGGGAGAGTGAATAGATGCATGTAGAGAAGTAGTGAGGGGAGTGTGAAGGGATGCATGAAGAGAAGTTGACAGGGGAGAGAGAAGGGATGCATGAAGAGAAGTTTACAGGGGAAAGTGAAGGGATGCATGAAGAGAAGTAGGCAGGGGAGAGTGAAGGGATGCATGAAGAGAAGTAGACGGGGGAGAGTGAAGGAAGGCATGAAGAGATGTAGACAGGCGAGAGTGAAGGGCTACACGTGGAGAAGTAGACAGGGGAGAGTGAAGATGCATGAAGAGAAGTAGACAGGGGAGAGTGAACATGCATGAAGAGAAGTAGACAGGGCAGAGTGAAGGGCTGCATGAAGAGATGTAGACAGGCGAGAGTGAAGGGCTGCATGTGGAGAAGTAGAGAGGGGAGTGTGAAGGGATGCATGAAGAGATGCTGGGGAGATGAAGTGATGCATGAAGAGAAGTAGACAGAGGAGAGTGAAGATGCATGAAGAGAAGTAGACAGGGTACAGTGAATGGATGCATGAAGAGAAGTAGACAGGGCAGAGTGAGGGGCTGCATGAAGAGAGTAGACAGAGGAGAGTGAGGGATGCATGAAGAGATGTAGACAGAGGAGAGTGAAGGGTTGCCTGATGAGAAGTAGACAGGGGAGAGTGCAGATGGAAGAGAAGTAAAAGGGGAGAGTGAAGGGATGCATGAAGAGAAGTAGACAGGGAGAGTGAAGGGATGAGTGAAGAAGTAGACAAGGAGAGTGAAGGATGCATGAAGGAAGTAGACAGGGGGAGAGTGAAGGATGAGGAGAGGACGAAGTAGAAGAAGAAGTAGACAGGTACAGTGAATGGATGCATGAAGAGAAGTAGACAGGGCAGAGTGAAGGGATGCATGAATAGAAGTAGACAGGGGAAGTGAATGGATGCATGAAGAGAAGTTGACTGGGGAGAATGGGATGCATGAAGAGAAGTAGACAGGGGAGAGAATAGATGCATGTAGAGAAGACAGTGAGGGGAGTGTGAAGGGATGCATGAAGAGAAGTTGACAGGGGAGAGAGAAGGGATGCATGAAGAGAAGTTTACAGGGGAAAGTGAAGGGATGCATGAAGAGAAGTAGACAGGGGAGGGTGAAAGGCTGCATGTAAAGAAGTAGACAGGGGAGAGTGAAGAGATGCATGAAGAGAAGTAGTCAGGGGAGAGTGAAGAGCTGCATGAAGAGTAGTAGAGAGGCGAGAGTGAAGGGATGCATGAAGTGAAGTTGACAGGGGCGAGTGAATGGATGCAGGAAGAGAAGTAGACGGAGAGAGTGAAGGGATGCATGAAGAGCTGTAGACAGGCGAGAGTGAAGGGCTGCATGTAGAGAAGTAGACAGGGGAAAGTGAAGGGATGCATGAAGAGAAGTAGACAGGGGAGAGTGAAGATGCCTGAAGAGAAGAAGACAGGGGAGAGTGAAGGGCTGCATGAGTAGTAGACAGGGGAGAGTGAAGATGCCTGAAGAGAAGTAGACAGGGGAGAGTGAAGGGCTGCATGATGAGAAGTAGACAGGGGAGAGTGAAAGGCTGCATGAAGAGAAGTAGACAGGGGAGAGTGAAGATGCCTGAAGAGAAGTAGACAGGGGAGAGTGAAGGGATGCAGGAAGAGAAGTAGACGGGATAGAGTGAATGGATGCATGAAGAGTAGTAGACAGCGGAGAGAGAGGGATGCATGAAGAGAAGTGGACAGGGGAGCGTGACGGTATGCATAAAAAAAGTAGACAGGTAAAGTGAAGGGATGTATGAAGAGAAGTAGACAGGGGAGAGAGAAGGGAAGCATGAAAAGAAGTTGACAGGGGAGAGTGAAGGGATGCATGAAGAGAAGTAGGCAGGGGAGAGTGAAGGGCTGCATGAAGTGAAGTATACACAGTTGAGTAAAGGGCTGCATGAAGAGAAGTAGACAGGGAAGGGTGAACGGATGCATGAAATGTGTAGACAGGTGAGAGTGAAGGGATGAATGAAGAGTTTAGACAGGGGAGAGTGAATAGTGCATGAAAAGAAGTAGACAGGGGGGAGTGAAGAGATGCATGAAGAGAAGTAGGCAGCGGAGAGTGAAGGTATGCATCAAGTGAAGTAGACAGGGGAGACTGAATGGATGCAGGAAGAGAAGTAGACAGGGGAGACTGAATGGATGCAGGAAGAGAAGTAGACAGGGGAGAGTGAATGGATGCATGAAGAGAAGTAGAAAGGGAAGAGTAAAGGTATGCGTGAGAGGAACGTGAAGTAGACAATGGAGAGTGAATGGATGCATGAAGAGAAGTAGACAAGGGAGTGTAACGGGATGCATGAAGAGAAGTAGACAGGGGAGAGTGAAGGGATGCGTGAGAGGAACGTGAAGTAGACAATGGAGAGTGAATGGATGCATGAAGAGAAATAGACAGGGTAGAGTGAAGGGATGCATCGAGTGAAGTAGCCAGGGGAGAGTGAAGGGATGCATGAAGAGAAGTAGACAGGGGAGAGTGAAGGTATGCTTGAAGAGAAGTAGACAGGGGGGAGTGAAGTGATGCGTGAATGGAATGTGAATTAGTCAGGGGAGAGTGAAGGGCTGCATGAAGAGAAGTAGACAGGGGAGTGTGAAGGGATGCGTGAGAGGAACGTGAAGTAGACAAGGGAGAGTGAAGGGATGCATGAAGTTAATGCCAGGCTGACATTTGTGTTTCTAGGGATGCGTGAAGAAAATGAGAAATAGACATGGGATATCGACCGTGTTCCGTGAAGGGGAATGACAGAGAAGTATAAACGGGATGTGTGAATAGAGTCAGATGTAGACAGATGTGTGTGAACGCGATTCCTGAAAAGATTGAGCATTAGATAAGAGAGTGAAAGAAGTTGCGTGAAGCGAATGTGAAATATACTGGAGAGATTGAAGAGGATGCGAGAAGAGAATGAGTATTAGACAGAGGAGAATGAAGGTGATGTGGGAAGAGAATGAGACAAAAATGATCATTGTGTGAGAAGTTTGAAGTGAGGTGAATGAAAAATGTGGCAGTGCTTTATGAAAGATAATAACATTGGGAATAATGAGAAGTATGAGGAGAGTTCGAAATATTTTGAAAGTATTCAGGAGAAATAATATGAACCTTGCGAGAATGAAGAAATAAAAAAAAAGTTTGATGAACATGAGAATATGAATAAAGAGTATGAGAGATGGTAAATTAATTTGATTATTCCAATAACTATTTCAAAGGACAGAATAGAAATCTATGGCTGGGTTGATTATAAGTTTTTTTATTAATATCTTTTTTTTTTTGTTTTATAAGGTCGTCCTCTGCCCGGCATAATTATTGAAATGACAAGTGAAATTTCTACACCCACTTCCGTTAGTGTTTTTTTCTCGTTATATTTCAATATCAACTAAGAATTATACTATTGGAAAAGAAAAAAAAATAATTCATTACCTGAATAAGTTAAAATTGTACGTATTTTCTATTTCATATTAGCTATTTTCACAAAGGGTGTAACTGATAGATTTTACTAGATCATCATCATCATCATCATCATCATCTCCATCATCATTTAGTTAGTTCATTTTTAACCGTTGTGGCCACCACTCCCCTCTATCTGCCAATTGTGGTTCATGGTAACATTCAAGGCAGAATAGTGCAATGGATTGACGTTTCCTTTTGCACCGGGGATGTTGAAGCTAACCAGCCCTCGCTCTTCTCTGATATTAAAATGGCAGACCGACAATGGAGCAGGTGGTGTGAATTCAGAGTTTTCATTCTCTTATACCGGTTGCCATCCAAGCTATAGGAGATAATCTGTCCAGTTATGTCATCCATAGCTGGAAGAGGAGGTTATGTTTTCATAACTTTCTCAATGATATTATGAACGTAAGTGAATCAAATCAACATGACTGATATTCGAACTCACCTCCCCGTTTCGGCAAGCAGAGCCGCCCGCTAGCGATTATTATACAACTGTGCGTGGAAAATTGTTGAGGGCAAATCACTACGCAACTCTGTGCATTCTCTGAAATCTCTTCATTTTTCTCCCGCTTTCTTTCCCTCATTATTCTCTCTGCTCGTTTCGTTCTCCTTAATCTCCACGACATTTTCCTTCTTTTCATTCTCATCTCAGTTCTGCTCATTCTCCAATATGTTCTTCTGTTTTTATTTACTTTAATTCTTGTATTTCATCTTCTCACCATTGTCAACAAATAAACTCTGATTCTGCTCAGATTTTTCCATATTCTATATCTTGCCCTTTATATATATATATATATATATATATATATATATATATATATTCTAATAAAGAATGTCTCCCTCCTCCATTATACACATTCTTCTCATTGTCTTGTATCATGTTCTAATTCTCTGCACTTTTGATCTCATTTATCCCGCTCCTTTTCCTCTTCTCTTATCTCAATCTTACGAAGCTTCGACTGATTATTTTCAGTTTTCATCATAAATTCTACTCTCCTTTCCTCATTTGTCTTACTCTACTCTTCTTCTTCCTAAAATCTTATGAGTTTGATAATATTATTTTCTAAACAGATTTCTCTGTTTTGCAAATTGTCTCTCTTCAAAGTTTTTAGCTGATCTCTGAACGATTGTTTGAAAGAGCTCCATTTATATCCGTGATTACTTCTACAATTCAAAAGTTGTTCAATGGCGGCGATCTCTTTATTGTATAGTCATTTAAATCTTTTCTTTTTTTTAACAACGTATCAATCCGTTGTGTATAATTTAAAGCCGAAACATGTTTTCTATTGCAAGAATAATTCTTCTTTTGATCAGTGTAACATTAACACCTTTATTGGAGATAACAAATTATCCAGATACAGCTTTATCCAATTTGATACATAAATGGGGTGAAATAGATTTTAAAAAAATATTTGCACGTAATTGAATGTAACGGACTTGATTGGAATTCGAACTCGCATCTCCGATTTTCCATTCCGAGCCTATATCAAATCCTCAAATGATGTACTGTCATTACTCGAAGAATGTTCATCTATAAAAAGCTTAATTTTTTTCTCCCTCAAACGTAATAGCATGTCAATATCAATAACTTTTATTTTAATATGTTGCGTTGGATAATGTCTCCCTTATTTTTCTTAATAAACATATTGTAAATGTTCGACAATCGATATATTGAGAATAACTTCGCCGGGTTTTATTCCAATGTCTTTGCTATTATTCTTGATGAAAATAAATATTTACAAACTCCAATTATTTTTCCGTTTCACGTCTTTTGAGTTTTATTCCCTGGAGTTTAGTAACGTAATTCTGTAAAGATTGGAACGGTTACGTCACGAGCCGCATAACCTACTGAACTAATAAGGGCAGAGCATTTACTGCAGTCATAGTAGTTGGGATGCATCTTGGGCAAAGTAGCCTGAAGGAGCCCATCTTTTGTCAGCCTTGTTTAGAGTTCCAAGTTAAATAATCGAGTAAATTATAATAGAAAACGGGTATATCCGAGCAAAACATTTGCAGTTTCAATATATATATATATATATATATATATATATATATATTTAAAAAAAAGCCATTTTGCGTTCGGTTCCCCTGTTTTTCTTTCATCGATGTTCCAATGAAGCAACAAAATTATCCAAATTAGATTATCATTTAAAAGTAAGAAATCAGCTGATTTGACAATTATCGGTCCAGCAAGCGATTTTAAAAATCATTTCTTGTATGGAGGCTACTGGAAGAAAGGGAATACTTTAAAAGCAGGAACCGAAAACCTCGTCCTAATCAGTAAACAACGGATAAATTTCTACTTCCGTTCATGACACAAGGAAGGAACATGAAGCGTGCAATAAAGAATTAATTAAAATAATCCTTGTATCCTTACGCCTTCAATCAGGTGGTCTGGTATCACTCGTCGGTTTTCGGGTGATCGCTTTGTCAAAAGATAACGGTCGGTGATAAACAGTTCAAAATGTATATTATTTACATTATTCGGACTATTGTCCTCATCGTTGTCGCCATATCACAACGTTTTGGCCGTTGTACGCTCCGGCCTTCTTGAAATTACAACCACCTGATGAAGGCCGGAGCGTACAACGGCCGAAACGTTGTGATAAATATGGCGACAAAGATGAGGACAATAGTCCGAATAATGTAAGTATTGTATATAATACCTCATCTCAGAAATATAGACAGTTCAAAATGTCATGTTCGATTATGTCCTTGAAAAATTGATACTGGGCTGCTGTTACTTGATTGAAAAATCGGAAACAGAAAATTATCAAGGATTTCCGTTCTCGTATCTCTGCGTAGATCTGAACAGTTGTCTCCCCTTTTATGCAGTTTGAACTTATTCTTCTCACAAACTTAATTAGTAAAAAAATAAAATTCACTGCTCCGAGCTTACACTCGTCCCAGAGTGAGAGGTTGGGGTCAAAGCTGGTCAGAGATAGTTAGCGCAAATTATTCTTTCATTCTCAACACATTTAATTAGCAAAATTGTATATCGCTTTCCTCGTATCGTCTGATTTTCAAAAAAGAGCTGAATTTTTAAACAATGGGCTATCTATCGACAGAGCAAAGCATAAAGATGTTTGTTTCATACCTTTTAAAAAGAAAAACGCAATATCGAAAAAAAGAAGCGTCACACGGTATTCTAGTTCGTCTTTTCAATTACGTCACGCCAGCTCGTACATCCAGTCAAACGCGATATCATCATCGTAATCAAACAGTGCTTGAAAGGGACAGTCATTTAGTGTCTGAGGATGCATTCAACCTCAGGTCATTCTGTGCTTTACTGACCTAAGTTAACCGTTCATCTTTCTGCACTAATCGGATGACGATTTCGTTTTCAATGTTCATGTCGTCATTGGCTATTGGCGGTCACCTGCATGTGAAGACGTTGTTCATATTCCAAATGAATAACGCCGCAAGTCGAAATGCTTCCAGAGAAATCACTGACCAATCTAATGAGGCCATGTCCGAAGAATAACACTAACAAAAACAGTTGGAATTGGTGAAAGGAGATGGTAGGAGTTTAAGATTAACAGAAGAATAACAAGGGAGGTAATTGCAAATGACAAGATGCTGAGGAGAAAACTTAGTGGAAATGGCAGATTTGTGGTTAAGAGACTGTGTGAAAAAAAGACATTGGTAGAGAAAAAAGAGATCAAAGTGCAAGAAGAAAGATAATGTTTACTGGAAGCATTTAAAGAAAGGAAAGCCAAACATAGAAAAAATCTAAAGTGTAAAGAGAAAAGTATTGCAGTATTAAGAAGAAATCGATAAAGGTTTTTATAGACATATCAAAACATATAAGGATATGGTTTAAACAAGTCGAATCAAAATCTTCAACCCGTTTTCTTCATCGATTTCACCCCATACAAGGCAATAAACCCACTGAGACACTAAAGGATTACTGATTAAGAAAGAATTAGAATCAGATACTTTACTAATGAACGGGAACAGAAAACAGCAATCAGGAGGTCAATAGCTAGGGATTAACATTGAATTTACATTTTTGAAGATCAACATCGGCGGGAAAGCATTGAACCTGAAGAGAGTTCTAGAAAAGAAACAGTTATTATCGTATTTTCCTGATATTAAGCATGAGTTAACTTTTTTTTTTTTACCTTGACCTCAATGTCACATGAGCCAATGGATAAAAACGTTGGTTGCATCCAGTGACTTGACCCAAATCGATGTAATTTCAGTACCTTGTTATGGCAGTGATGAACACAACATGTATGTTTGAATTAAAAGGAGATAACAGAGCTATCGGGAAGAGGCATGGCACGTGGAACTAGTACAATCTACTCCGGTGGAAGTAATAAAGGATATAGTTCGAAATTCCAGGCATCTGAAGAAGGTCGGAGCGTACAGCGGCCGAAACTTCGGGAACATGTCAATAAAGATGAGGACAACAGCACGAAGAAATCCTCGACAAAATCCAGAACGGGATATGCAATGTAATAGGTCTTGATCTGGCATCCCGTCTACGGTCACGTGCTGTAGCTTCCCTATGTCTTTTCTACAAGTATTTTCATGGCAACTGCTTGGACCAGCTAATTTTACCGGTTCCCAAACTGCATGAATTTAAGCGTGCTACTAGATTGGCGTCACGGACCCAAACTTTCGCTGTCGAAACGGTGAAATGTAGCCGTCTCTTCTATCCCAACGGCTTCTTATCTCGCACTTCCCG